CGCCCGGCAGCGCAGCCATCCTCGGGCACGCGCCCAGCGACGAGTCCTTCGACAGACGGACCGAGCGCCTGCGCCGCATCAAGCTGGGCACGGGCTGCAAGGACGCACCCCGAGCCGTCTCCACACAACGAGCTTGTCGATCGGCTTATCAGCCACATCGGCCAGATGAAGGGCGACTGCGACGACTTAACTGACTGCGGGGTTCACCCCCGCCGCCGCGCCGCCGGCGCCGCGACGCTCGACCAGGGCGAGTACATCGACGCCCTCATGCCGATCAGCCGCGTCGATTTGGTCAAAGCGAAGGCCGACGAGCCAGCAGGAGGTCAACTTCTGGACCTCTTCGCTTCTTGGCTGGGAGCAGCGTCTTGCGCCCTTTTCGCCCAGCGCCGCGTCGCAGCGCGAACCGCGGCACTGCAGAAGGCCAAGATCAAAGAATAACAAGCTGCTCATGCGTCGCGATATGCAGCTCAACTCTACGGCGCTCGCCACGCAGTAGATCAAGGCGCGCGTCGCCTTCCCGCCATGGAATGCGCTGGCCAGATCTGCGCGCTCAGCGACGGGTTCTTCCAGAGGGAGGAGGAGACGGGCACGGCATGCAAGGTGCCGTCTACATGCGCTTCGGCATGTGTCGCGGCACCGACAAGAAGGTCTGCCACTTGCTCGACGCGATGAGCCGCTCGCCGAAACTTCCACGCAGTTTTTCGCTCGACCCCGAGCTGCTCGCAGCACGCGGCGCAACTGCCGAGCGGCAAGCCCCCCCCCCCGCGCTCCACGAGATGACCCGCGGCCCAGCCTCAACTAATGAGATCAGGAAGCTGATGGAGAGAGGAGGAAGGCCACGCTGCGGTAACAGCAGCTCTGTCGTTGACGGAACGTCCGGCTTCGCGAGCCCAGCCATGGATCTTGCTCGACCGCTTTCGGGGAACAGCATTGCAGGCCACATATGGGCGGCTACCGGACCAGCTCCGCACCAAGCAGATTGTAGACATGTTTTTGTGCGACACGCGGGACATGAGGGCCAAACCCGCGACTAAGGGGGGCATCGGCCAGGAGTTTGTTCGGATTCCTGGACGTTATTAATGGGAAGCTCGACAACGACCGCGACGCTGTCAAGTCGAGCGACGAGAGGCACCAGCAGGCTTTGCCCAGTTCCTACCATGGCAATCTCACTTAGGAGGTGGACGACGCGCCAGACTAAGTCACCGAGCCGTCCAATATCAAGAAGTTCTGGCTGCAGGCAACGCCAGCCTGGGTCTACGCCACTATGTCATGGCAGCTATGGCCTCGCAGTCGGCAGAGCGAGAGAGAGAGCGAGAGAGAAAGAAAAACATGCGCTCGCATTTCGCGAGCTATGATCGCGAATACGACATAGTTGGTCACACTAGCCACGGGTTGCTTTTATGAGCTGCGTTCGCGGAGCAGCAAGCTTTTGAGAGTTGGCCATGCCAATTATCTGCACGTCGCTCCATCAATCGCATGCTGTCTTGCTGCCGTCCGGTGCACTTGTCATGAGGAACGTGGTCAGTAGAGCGTTCCCTGTCGCACTTGGTTATTGTCTCATTGGTTAATGCCCAGCTTGCGGGCGTGAGCCGACGAGGCACATGCATGTTCGCTTGAGCACACGACTCGAAGTGCAGTCGTCTTGCAGTCGTCTTGCATAGCCTCGCCTTCTCTGCCTCTGCCTAGTTCCCTGCCCGTCCGCTGCAACTTGGTTCGGGGGCACGGTAGGTGCACCTCGGGTGCCTTGTTGGCACCCGTTTTACCGCTTGCGCTCCTTCGAGCAACGCGACCAGCGCTTGATCGCACGTGCATTTGATCGTGCCACATGGGGGGAGAGGCGCCAGCCAGCGTGGAAAAGTCGAGGGAGGTGGAAAGCCTCGAGTTCCATAGCCGAGAAGGCTTTGGGCGACGGGCGCAGGGCGCCGGCGATGTTTGGCCCGCCGCTGGGTCGGCATTGCGCCCGCATGCGAAGGCCGACGAGCCAGCAGGAGGTTAACCTCCGGACCTCTTCGTTTCTTGGCTGGGAGCAGCGGCTTGCGCCCTTTTCACCCAGCACCGCGTCGCAGCGCGAATCGCGGCACTGCAGAGGGCCAAGAACAAAGAATAACAATCTGCTCATGCGTCGCGATATGCAGCTCAACTCTACGGCACTCGCCACGCAGTAGATCAAGGCGCGCGTTGCCTTCCCGCCATGGAATGCGCCGGCCAGATCTGCGCGCTCAGCGCCGGGCTCTTCAAGAGGGAGGAGGAGACGGGGCACGGCACGCAAGGTGCCGTCGACATGCGCTTTGGCAAGTGCAAGTGTCGCGGCACCGACAAGGGGGTCTGCCACTTGCTCGACGCGATGAGCCGCTCGCCGAAACTTGCGCGCAGGTTTTCGCTCGCCCCCGAGCTGCTCGCAGCGCGCGGCGCAGCTACCGAGCGGCAAGCCCCCCCCCCCCCCCCCCCAACAAAAAAATACAACGCTCCACGAGATGATCCGCGGAGCAGCTTCAACCAACGAGATCAGGAAGCTGATGGAGAGAGGAGGGAGGCTACGCAGTAACAGCAGCCCTTGTCGTGGACGGAACGTCCGGCTTCGCGAGCCTAGCAATGGATATTGCTCGACCGCTTTCGGAATGGCAGGCCAAATATAGGCGGCTACCGGACCAGCTCCGCACCAAGCAGATTGTAGACATGTTTTGGTGCGACACGCGGGACATGAGGGCCAACCCCGCGACTAAGGGGAGCATCGGCCAGGATTTCATTCGGATTTCCGGACGTTATTAACGGGAAGCTCAACTACGACCACGACACTGTCAAGCTGAGCGGCGAGAGGCACAAGAAGGCTGTGCCCAGTTCCCATCATGGCAATCTCTTTTGGGAGGTGGACGACGCGCCAGGCTAAGTCACCGAGCCGTCCAGTATCAAGAAGTTCTGGCTGCAGGCAACGCCAGCCTGGGTCTGCATGACTATGTCATGGCAGCTATGGCCCCACAGTCGGCAGAGAGAGAGAGAGAACAAAAAAACAAAAAGATGCGCTCGCATTTCGCGAGCTATGATCGCGAATACGACATAGTTGGTCATACTAGTCACGGGTTGCTTCTATGAGCTGCGTTCGCGGAACAGCAAGCTTTTGAGAGTTGGCCATGCCAATCATCTGCACGTCGCTCCATCAATTGTATGCTGCCTTGCTGCCATCTGGTGCACTTGTTATGAGGAACGTGGTCAGTAGAACGCTCCCTGTCGCAATTGGTTTTTGTCTCCTTGGTTCATGCCCGGCTTGCGGGTGTGAGCCGACGAGGCACATGCAGATTCGCTTTAGCACCAGATTGCAAGTGCAGTCGTCTTGCACACCCTCGTCATTTCTGCCTCTGCCTAGTTCTCTGCCCGTCCGCTGCAATTTGGTTCGGGGGCGCGGTAGGTTTACTTCGGGTGCCCAGCTGGCACCCGTTTTACCGCTTGCGCTCTTTCGAGCAACACGAACATTGTTTGGTCGTGCATACATTTGATAGTGCCACATGGGGGAGAGGCGCTAGCCAGCGTGGACATGTCGAGGGAGGTGGAAGCCTCGAGTTCCGTAGCCGAGAAGGTTTTGGGCGACGGGTGCAGGGTGCCGGCGATGTTTGGCCCGCTTCTGGGTCGGCATTGCGCCCACATGCCCCATTTGGGCGCAACGACGCGGTCAGCAAGAACATTGCAAGCACAGTGGAGCGTGACTTTGTCAGCACAGAGACTTCGAACCTGAGCGTCGTCAGATTCGACGGCGGAACCGGAGGTGCCGCCAGGCCTGCCAGCGACAAGGCGCGTGATGGGGGGTCTGGGACAGGGCGCGCGGAGGTTCGCTGTCGTGAAGGCGGCAAGCAGGCGCGGCGTGGGAGTTGGCCGAGGCTGGACCGAACGTGGCGAAGGGGAGTACTCCAGAAGTGGATGCTGGGGCGACCCTGGGCAAACCACCGGGGCCCAGCGATGGAGGCGGCGCGGGGGGCAGGGGGCCCGATGATGGCCCCAGGTCCGCGTCAGAGGAGCGGCGGTCGGGGTGGGCCTGCTGGCGCCGCGCGGGGTGAGAGGTGAACTTCCAGCGAGTAGACGGGGCGCGCGGGTGTCCGGAGGAACCGTTGCTAGGGGAGCCCACGAAACGTGCCAGGCTGGCTGTGGGCTCCGACGGCGCTGCGAGTGTGGCCACGCGGCCCCGCGGGAACCAGAACGGTTTCGTTGGGAGTGGTGGCAGGCGAGCGGCTACGCTGGGAGCCGTAGCGCCGAGCGGCCCCGAAGGACCCCTGCAGGGCGGGGAAGCGCGCGAAGACGGGGGGATGAGCACCGGAGGACTTGCCGCGGGTGGCAGGAGCAGGCGACGCGCTCCCTGTCCCAACGGGGCCAGTGGCGCGCGGAGGAGCGCCAGCTGGCTTAGGGTTGGTGGCGGGTGCGACTGCTTCCCGCTGCGGGGGCCTGGAAGCCCTCCTGGTGCCCATGCGCCCCAATGCAAGGGCGCACTTCGGTCGAACGCGTCAGCGAAAGCCTCCAGGAAGCGGTGGTTCACCAAGTTGGGGTCGTTGTGCAAAAAGAGGTTTCCCGTTCGGCGTGGCGCGGGCGAGGAAGTCTTTCCAGACGCATGGGGCCCCCAGAATGCCCCGCGGCAGCCCTGGGCCCCACCTCTCCATCGCGAGTGCCGCGGGCAAGCGTTCGCCTCTCGAGGCGAGCGGCTGGCGGCTTCGTTTTCGTTCAGCGTTTTTTTCTTCGGAGATTACCAGTTTGCGTCGTCATGCATGTTTCAATCGATGGCTCATATGCAGTCGAGGCATGTCCTACAGTCAATGTCGATATCGATGCAGCCGTCATGCATGTTTCAATCGAGTGGCTCCTGCGTTGTGCAGAAGAAATGCAGTCAACAAGTTGTACGATTGGGGCATTCGCAATGCCTGTGGAGCCCAGGCGAGCCATGACAAAAACGCCGAGTCTCAGAGATCCCCGATTTTGCCCCACGTTCCCAAAACATGCCACGCGACCCCACCGCGCGCCAGGGGGCGCCACGGCCGACGCGCGGAAGCGGCAGCTGCCCCCGCAGCGCCCCGGACGATGCTGGAGACGCTGACACCACGTCTTGCACGACGACTTCCAGGTCTGCGCCCGCCTTTCCAGGTCTTCCAACTGGGGCCAGAGCAGATGGGCTCGGAGGATGACGCCGCATCGCCGTTGCATCGGCGATGCAGTTCGATGCGGAGCCCGATTTCTTCCACGCCGATGAATCGCCGACGTCGCCGATGCATCGGCGATGAAGCGCCATTATCTGACATCATCTACATGGGCCCCCTCTCCAGCGGCACCTCGTCGAGAACCGTCTGTGGGCTCAGAGATCATACCTCAGAGATCATACCGAGTGGCCCTCTCTTGCCTGACTGGCAGCAGAGAGGACCCCAGACCCGTTGGCGTCTCATCAGAGCCATGCAGGTCGCTTCGGCCCCCGTGACCCACAAAGGCAGCCCACGGCGCGAAAGCCATGTGAATGCTTTTGGGTCGAGAGCTCCAGGGTCTCACACAATGGAAAGGTCGGGAGGACGGGGCTTCTGGGGAAGATGTAGGGACCGCCACGATTGCTTGCGCCGGTTATTTGAGAGCGGGTGTTGCCCATACAGTCACGGCGCTGAACTGAGGACCACTTTGGGTTCAGGAAGGGCTATGGATTTCGGGCCGTTCCGTAGGCCTAGGTCGGGGAACGTGTTCGTGGCAGAGGCTCGCCGTGGCCAAAAGAGCCCGTTCGTTCCTTACGTAGAGGTCTTCCTAGCAGGGCCTCTTGCGCCCAAGGAATCGGGTGATGCTTCTCAGGAGGTGGTGGCCAGGCATGGCGCGTTTCCCTACACAGCTCGACTGAAGTGCAAGGGTCTTGCACAAACGATCCTGACCCCCCGTAACGGAGCCTGGAGCTCAGAAATCGATGTCCCATCGTAGCCCCCCAGGCCACGTAGGTCCCTCATCGTGACCCCTCATCGTGAAATGCTTAAAGTTGCTCATCTGCCGCTGAAGACGGCAAGGTTACGTCGAACGATGTCGTGCCCCACCTCTTCGAAGTAACCTCTTCGGCGATTAATGGGTGCTCGCTCGACGGACCCAAGGGCCACACCATGACAGGTAATTCGTTCAAGACCGACGATTGGATGCTACGCCAGATTCATCGCCGACTTCCACACGGCATTCCCAAAGTTCGTCATTTTCTTGTTCCTTAAATCTTGGATGTGATGGTGTTCGCTCGTCGTGCATCGTTGCGCTCGCTTTTGTGCCCAAAACCTTGGGCACACATGGAGGCCATGGTGTCCCCATCACTCCCAGTTACAGATGCGCTCGACGACCGCGCCTTGGGTACATGGAGTGTTGTAGCATATCATTGTTCAATGTCCTTGCTTTCCTTCTCCTCTGGGTCCTTGCTTTCCTTCTCCTCTGGGCCCATGTCCTGTCGTCTTTCGAGAGTCATCGTTGGCAGGTTGTTCCTCCTCGCTCTTTCTGCTTCTGCTCCGCCTCCTCCTCCTCCTCCTCCTCCTCCTCCTCATCCTCCTTCTCCTCTTCTGAATCTGCCCAGAGGCACAGGGGGATTGACATTGTCCCTGGACGCTCCCCTGGTCGCACATGCAACGAAGCGCACGGGGCCAATTCTAAACGCTTCGCGTAACCCCGCCAGTGTTCGCTGGGCCTTTGCTGGCCGCCAGTTACGGTTGCCTGGACTGGCGTCTCCACTGTCGCGCCCCCGCTCCACCCGGACGAGCGGTCTTCCCTGGGCTTCTTCGTGACCACTGGCTGTTGCTTGGGCTGCAGCTGTCCTCGAGCGCTTCGTCTACTCCGCTCAGGTACGCCAGGGTACTTTGGTTAGACGGCTCCGGGTGTGCTGGTCACGTTAGTTGCTCCCTGGTGCACGCCCCTGTTCTCATCCGGTTGGCGTCGCTTGCGATTTGCGGCTGGTGAATTGGGACTGTTGTACCTTCCGCATTGCGTTACATCATGTCTTGATGGTCGCTAGCGTCCGCATCCATTCGAGGCTGTCTCCTGGGCTGGCGTGCCTGGTTCGGTTCGACACCACGAACTCCACGCCTTGGGCTGTGTGGGTGCGTACTCTGAAGCTGCGACGGTTCGCTGGCGCTGTCAGAGCTAACCCTTCGTACGGGATGCCAACTGACGACTGCTCTTTTGTCTTCCGGTTGATGTTTGTGCATGGCAGGTCCTGGATCCCCTTGCACGTCATTCCCGTCGAGGTTGGGGACCTCCTCCTGTTCAGTTTGTGTCACAGGCTGCTTTTGTTCTGTTGGACTGACACGGTTGGGGTCTTGCATTGCGCCACTTTGGCAGCGTAATTACCTATCCCTGGGTGCTGGGTCCCCATCAGATTCCCTGGGCAGCAGCACCCTTGCACCCGCCGCTCGGCGCCGGCCGCGCTACACGCGCGCCTCCGGCCAATTTGTAGCGGCCGCAGCCCGACCGTTACCCGCCGCCGCTGGCGCTTCGTTCACACCGCCCTCTGGACTTTTCCTTGCGGGCCGCGAATCAAAAAAATAACCCCACCAGCCCCCATGGACGGACTCCGACTGGAAAGGCAGGGGCAAAGGATATTCTCCACGAGGGGACGACCGCGACTCTGAGAAGCGGGCCCGCTGGTGGGCCAAGTGCGACTCCAACACCCAAGGCTGACGTGCTCCCGCCACGGCGTACCTCAGCGTCCAGATACAGGCACCTGCCCAGAGTGGACCCCTGGTCCTCACCTCCAGCCACCCGTGGCCCTGAAGGGGCTTGTTTCACCTCGCTGCGCCCGGCTCAGGCCGTAATACCCGGGGCCACCCTCCGCTGGGGCGAAGGCTCACCCCCACATTTCACCCACGGCGCAGCTTAGCTAGACAGCCCACGCTGGATAAGTGGACCACCCGCCACCTTTTCGGGCCCGCCGTTGGGGGATCCCCCACTTGCACCGGACATCTCACCCTCACTGGCCCTGCGGGCCCGCCTGGCTCACACCGGCAGGTCCCCGAGGCACCCAGACATTGCTGTCCGATGACGACAGCCGGCTCGCGGACCCTGGGCGGGAGGTGGGCCCCAGCATCCTCCCCCTCCTGCCTGGCCGCGGGTTCGACCTAGCTAGGTTTCAGTTTTGTCACACCGCAGGCGCCAGAACATCAGCGGCGGTTAGCTGCGACCCTGGATGAACCAACACACGCCATCCCCACGGAGGTTCCGGCCTCCGCGGTGGCAGCCCAACCTTCAGCGTGTCAGTCCACCGGTTGCAGGCTGCCCACCTTGGACCACACCAACATCGGACGAAAGACTTACCATTCGGTATTACCTTCACTTCAGCGGCGGTTAGCTGCGACCCTGGATGAACCTCGGGAAATGGCGGCCGTGCCCCCTGGCCAGGTGCACCTGGGACCCGTTCGAGGTGCGGTGATGTTCGTCCCCACCGCCTTTCTCCTCGGGTCCATCTCGGGCCGGGCCCTGGCCGCGTCCCCCGCCCTCTGCCTTCGGGGCTGCCGTTTCCCTGCGTTTCCCTTGCAGGGCGCCCCCGTGGTGCCCCTCCACGTGGGGGGTCGGTGTTGTCTTTCCCCACCGCCCCACCCTCCGGGTTCCCCCCTGGCCGGGCTGCCGCCAGGCGCGCCGCCTGGTCTCGGGGGCGCTCGTCCCCACCCCCCACGGCTGCCTTGGACCCCCGCTGTCAGTGGTAACGCTACCTCACCTTCAGCGGCGGTTAGCTGCGAGGCGGATTCGACGGTGACCCTGGATCCCCGCGGGGAATGGCGGACGCGGCGGATAAGGCCGCCCCATGGCGGCCTTCGGCGTACACCACGCGGCCACTGCAGCGCAGCTCCACCCTGGACGCCCCACCTTGCTGGCGGCGTTCCCCCCACCAGCTTGGCCTCGCGCAGCGCTCCCGCCGACGCTTGCACAGCCGCGCGTGGATGGCGCTCCACAGGATCGGCGGCCACTCATGCTGCGCGGTTTGACGGCCCCTGGAGGCACAGCCAGCTCCGAGTAGTTCAGCCTTCGCAGCCTGGGCCGCCCTCCGGGCCCACCTCCCCCGCCCGGCTCGGTACTCGACGTTGTTCGGCGGTGCAGCACAGCTGGCGCGCACACGCTGTTGGCGCGGCTTGGGCTTGGCGCCCCGCCTGCGACAGCCCATCGCTCACCACGTCTGGCCGCCACAGCGCGCAACACAGAATTCCCTAGCATTTTGCCGCAGGGTGCACAACCGCAACAGGGCGACGCATTTCAGACCGCCCGCGGGCGCGCAACCGCAATTCCAACTGGGCGACTTCAGACCAGCCCGCCCGCGCGCGCAAACTGCGACCGCAATCACCTGCCGCCCTCCCCCAGGGGATCAGAGCGCGAAGGAAGGGCGGGAGGAAGGTGGGAAAAGGGGGGGGGGGGGGGGGGGGCGGGGGGGCGGGAGGGAGGAGGAAGCATGGGGGGGGGGGAGAGAGAGACGGAGGGAGGGTAGAGAGCTCACAATGATTGGGGGCGGGCAACTTCTGCCCCCCCCCCCGCTCCACGCTAGAGGATCTCCACGAGGCTCCAGGCCCTGGATTCCTCATCCAAGGCCTCCGCGGTCTGCCAGCGGGACGGGCGGGCCAACCGCCCCCGATGGGGGGAGGCGAGGCTTTGACAGAAGCGGTCCGTTGCACCGCCTAGTTTGAAGTTGGGGGGGCGATGCCGCGGGGACCGATTGCGCGTTCACCCGCGCGCAAGCTGCGCGCGGATGCAGGCGCATCGGCGCCGTCTCATTCACGCAGCCTGCCGCGTCTCATCCATGATCTGGCGCAGGAGCAGGTGGAGGAGGAGGGGGGGGGAGGGCGAGGAGGAGGCAAGGGAGGGGGAGGGGGAGGAGCAGCAGGACGAGGAGGAGGACGAGGAGGAGGAGGAGCAGCAGCAGCAGGACGAGGAGGAGGACAAGGAGGAGGGACTAGGATGGCCAGGAGGAGGAGGACGATGGGGAGGGGGATGCCAGGGCGGCGCTGCTTGAGAAGGCGCACGAGCAGGCGCTCGTTGCGGAGGACTGAGGAAAACGAGGTGGTGGACGTCAAGGGGGATGGAGGTGGATGTCTCCCTGGCGGCCCCGGGCGCGACCCGCGGTTCTCCGCCGGGGCATTGCAG